GTGTTTTGATCCATTTCCACTCTATTTTTTTTATTATTGGGGAATAAGGAAACAAATATGATCGTAGGCCACCAAATTGCCTTATTTATGGTGATACTAAAGGAATTGTTTTTTTAAATAACCAATTTGTTATACTTACTTTTCTGTGCAGTGGTTTTGCACAGAGCAGCCCTGATCTTCCTCTACTTGAATCCCCCGTGGCACTCCTGGCTCCTCCCCTTGCTTAGTGCTCCTAGAGCAAGCCGCTAGCTATGGGGGCACTTGTGAGTACTTACGCCCCAAGCCCCGCTCTGTGTGTCCATTGACACACAGAGCGGGGCTTAGCCCCACTGCCTGCTCTCTTCTCACTGGCTGTGACTGACAGCAGCAGGAGCCAATAGCCCCTGCTGCTGTGTCTGAGCCATGGAGGAGGGAGAGAGCTGGGAGATCAGCTGCTCTTGTGCACACCCCTGGATTGAGATCTGGCTCAGGTAATTATTGGTGGGGGGCTGTGGGGGGAGCTGCACACAGAAGGTAAAAAAAAAACCCTTCAGTCTTTAGAACCACTTTAATTATAATTATTTTTATAGGCAAATCTGTAGAATCTCTAGCCCAGTGAACAGGAATTTTTCACCTAATAATACAATAGTTCAGTTCATAGCCTATGCCTAGGTGACATACATTAAACAAGTTTAACTTTCCATAGTCATCCTGGTTCCTGATGAATTATGTGCCTACTGTGTGTATGGCTACCCTTCATTGTGATACTTTATACTGCAGCTAATATAAAGATAGTACACGCTGTTATCCAACAGTCAGCACCAGCTTATTACAGTTTACCAAGTTCTAGGATATCATACTAGGTGTATTTTTAATTAACTCCACTATCAACTTTAAAACCTATTTATAGGAAATGAGAAACCTTGTAGGCTACCATTGCTGACCCTCCTTCCGAAAATACTGGTTTTCTGTCTGTCATATTAACCCAATACTTTTCAATGCTTTGAGACACAGACCTGGGATAAGCATAGGATCAGGAATTCTGAGTTCACTGGCTTATGCATGCTTGTTCCAGGCCAATAACAAAGAAAGGATTATAGGTAGAGGTGGCCAGGCAGCAAGCATTTTTACAGAGTTAGCCATGATAGACCCTATGTTTCTCTCAGTACAAGTTTCCTTGTGGATATTCTGCAGGTTATTCCTCTCGCGGCATTTGTGAAATACAGTTTTTGCCAAGCGACCACACCCCTTCAGCTATGTAGTGTTTTTTCTGCCCTACAAAAAAAGTTTTAATATTATTTTGAACTATGCAGCCTAGTTGAAGGTGTCATAGATATTAACCTACTTTGTTGTACTTTATCAGCTTTGCAGTGCAATCAGAACATCCTTACCATATATAATAATATTATTATATCCTCACTCATATCTTAGAAGTTACTTGTGGCTCCCTGATCCTAAACCTGGTCATTATATAGCTTATTAATGTACAGTTCAGTCTTTGCTAGCTTGCTGGCAATCATAGAAACAGAGTGACGGCAGAAAAAAGACCATGTAGTCCATCAAGTCTGCCCCCTTTTTTGTTTTTAACCTTTTCGGCTGAGTATAGATTTATATTTGTCCCAAGCGTGTTTTAATTCACTTACTGTTGACTGAATCACTACCTTTGCTGAAAGTCTATTCAAAGCATTAACTACTATTTTGGTAAAATCATACATTCGAAGGTTAATTTTTTACTTTCCTCCTGCTGGTTTAAAGTCACGTCCCTGTGTTCTTGATCTTAGCTTCATAGTGAAAATACCATATCAAGGTTTTCAATCATGCCCCCTCCCTTTCCCTTCTTTCTTCAAGACTGTATATATTATGTTCCAGCAGTCTCTCCTTTTGCAGTCAGTCCAAACAGAGTGTGATACTCAGCAGTGCTAGAGTTAATAAAGTTAAGGGGTGCAAAAAAAGGTTTTATAAGGATAGAAGACTGTAACTGCACAGATCAGGAGATTAGATGATACTGCTACATGATACAACTAGTCTCAGATGAAGAATGTAGATATTCCTATACAGTATAAAACAACCAGCTGCAGAAGAGTAAAACAGGAGTGGCTTTGTCAGGGTACCAGCTTGTATAAAGCGTAGCCAGGGTGGAGTTGGAAAAATGAACACATACATGGCGACGTATACAGAGTCTGACACTACCCAGCTCTTTAATAATCTCCAGTCATTTTCAAGTGCAACCTACCCGCAAAATCATAATTTTGATGTCCATGAGTAACCTACCTACAAGATCAGGACTTTGAAGTCCAAGTGTCACCTACTTGGAAAATCAGGACTTTGAAGTCCAGGGGGGTGGGGAGTATTTACTAAAACTGAAGCACACAGAACCTGGTGCAGCCGTGCATAGAAACCAATCCTCTTCAAGGTTTTATTGTCAAAGCCTAATTGAACAAGCTGAAGTTAGAAGCCGATTGGTTACTATGCACAGCTGCACCTGATTCTGTATACTCAAGTTTTAGCAAATCTCCCCCAAAGTGTCACCTACCTGAAAGATTTGAACTCTAGTCCAAGTGTCACATACCTGAAAGATTTGAACTCTAGTCCAAGTGTCACCTACCTGCAAGATCAGGACTGTGAAGTCCAGGTGTTACCTACTTGGAAAATCAGGACTTTGAAGTCAATGAGGGTATTTACTAAAACTAGAGCACACAGAATCTGATGCAGCTCTGCATAGAAAGCAATCAGCTTCCAGGTTTTATTGTCAAAGCTTAATTGAACAAGCTGAATTTAGAAACTGATTGGTTACAATACACAGTCGCACCAGATTCTGTGTGCTTCAGTTTTAGTAAATACCCCCCTCCCCAAATGTCACCTACCTAAAAGATCAGGACTCTAAAGTCCAAGTGTCACCTACCTGGAAAATCAGGACTTTGAAGTTATTTCTTCTCAGTAGCTGGCTCTGGTTGTTCTCCAGTTTTTTCACTTGCGCTGTCTGCTTGTCCATACGATCCTTTACTTCCCTCATGTTAGCGCTGACTTTGCGAGACTTTTCCAGAAGTTTGCTGACAGTGTTGCTTGTAGAAGTGTGGCTCTTGGATAACTTTGTGATGTCATTCTGAATCCCCTTGACGGAGTTTTCTATGTCGATCTGCCTCTTTTCCATTTTTTGCTGGTTCTCTTGTACTGAGTCCAGCATGTTGACCAGCTTATCTAGCAGGGTGAGGACTGTGATGGCGTTGACCTGGTTGGTGTCTTTGATGGAATCCACACCATGTTGTTGAGGTATGGGGCTGGAGCTCGGTGATTCTGCAGGGCTGTGGCTGGGCACCACCAACTCCTGACTTTCATGCTCCTCAGCCTTGTGAAACTCTTCACTTATGGCATTCTCAATTTGAACTGAATTCTCTTCCATGATTCGGCTGTGATTTAGTCAGATGCCTAACTTTCCTTCTGTTGAGCTGTATTATAATAGAAGCCGTAGACAGTCTGCTTGTATAGAATAGTATGCGATGTACCAGGCTGCAGCAAAACACTCCTAACATCTACATTCCAGCTTCTCTTGTAAGCCTCTGCTCCACCCAGTGGGAGGTGAAAGATGAATTATCCAAACTACAAAAGGCTAACTTTCAGATCCAGGGGTGTGTCACATGCATACCCTCCATCTGAACTAGATTTAGAAGTGAGGGTTTACATATTTTTTTTTAACTTGTTGAATTTCAGTAATGACTTCATGCAGGCAGAAAACTCCCTCTCCTGGCCAGCTGCCAGCTCCTCTTCCCTTAGCTGCAGGGGAAAACTTTTGGCTGGCTGCTGTGATCCACTGGAACACTAAGCATGTTTTTTTCCTGGATGAAGTTATTTTCAGAGAGAAGCATTGTTTGCATTTGCCAGGGGAATAATAACTCATTATGATATGTTTTCACATCTACATTTCTTTTCACACTACAAGTGCAGGTTAGAAGGCTCACTTTCCCAGAGCTCTTTCAGTGGAGAGTACTGTTACAGTTTAAGGTTTCCTTTTCTTTGTTGCATTAGTTTTCTCAAGCAGGAGATTCTCATATGTTTCCTTAAAGCTGAAATCTGGGCTGACTTTTTTTTTTTCTTGACCTACTGTAAGCCTGGTTTCACATATATGCGGTGCGGTTTATCGCATGTGATTCGCTTAGAAACCGCACCGCATTCCTGTGCAAATCACATGCGATTTGTGTGCGGTGCGATTGGAGCTATATATTTTGTATGGCGCTAATCGTACCGCACCCGCACCAAAAAGGTGCAGAACCCTTTTTTTGGTCCACACTAGAATCGGATCGCATGGGTATTCACACCTATGTGATCCAATTCTGCACATCGCACCGTGTTTTGCGGACCGCTTTCGGGGTGTTGTTAATATACACACCAACGGTTCTCATGAACGGGGTGCGATTCCGATGCGGTGCAGAATGCGCACAGAAAACGCTGCGAATTCCGCACTGCATCAGTGTGAACCAGAGCTTAATGTCTTTTCTTAACTTTCAGCAACTTCTCCATGTTTTCAAAAATGAGAAATAACCTTTGGTAGCACTCATAGGAAGGGCTCTGTCCACTTAAAGAATATGTAAACCCAATACTTTATATTTATAATATGTGCCTGCTGTACCATGTACTTGTATAAAAAAAGTATCCTGTTCTCTTGGTATAGTTTCCTTTTGTGTGAAATCCCTGGTGTTCCTGCCAGTCCCTCTGCTTTCCTATTAAAAACTTACCACACTAAGCAGGAGAACAAATCATAGTCAGTTTTCTAGCTGTGCTGGGAATTCAGCCTGCTCTCCTCCAATGATCAGACTTCTCCTGACACCCCCCCCTCATTCACTGGGAAGATCAGTGTGTTGCTGTTTTTTCTCCCCAAATTCTTATGCAGCTGAGAACAGAGGAAACGTGACCATTTTTAAAAAAGGAAAAAAAAGTGTTTATATATTTTTTTTTCTTTACAAAAATGTTTTGCCTTTCATTTCTAGTTTAAACTAAATGGGGTCTTTTACAAGGTGAGGGTTTACATCAGGGGTGGACTGACAACACAAGGGGCCCCCGGGCAATAGGGGATCATGGGGCCCCTGTGTCCTTGCCCAAACTCAAAAAAGCCTATGTAAAAGGTACCGGGGTATCTCATGGGGCCCCCTATTGACCCCGGGCCCTCGGGCAGTGCCCGAGTTTCCAAATGGTCAGTCCGCCCCTGGTTTACATATACTTTAATCTTTTCCCTACCAGGTCCGTACAGCGTATGGACCTACAGCACTGCTTCTAGCTTGCCAGGTCCATATGCCGTATGGACCTGCATTCCTCCTCTGCTAAACGCTCATGGTCACTTCAGTGACCATGAGCCTATAGCAGAACTGTTCAGCAGATGTTGCTGAACAAACTGATAGCTCTGATCAGTGGCTGACAAGCCACTGATCAGAGATATTTACCTGAAGTGTGACCCCCCTTCCCTGCCTCTGCCTCTCTGCCTCTATGTGTCCCGCCCCTACACCCACTTGTGCTGTAACGGACTGCCTGACAGCACCTCTATCAGTCCCCTGGTAGAGCCTCCTCAGAGTGCGGAGTCTAAGCACCGGAGCACTTGTTCACCAGGGCCCCTGATGGTGGGGATGGACTTGGAGCTTTCCGGTACCAGGTCGCAACTACTAGGTATCTCCAACAGGGGTAGAGGAGTCTGACAGGGGCTCCAGAGAGCTAGGAGTATGATGTAAGGGAGCCTAGTGATCCCTGCGGGGTGGGTGGATGGATGAGCTAAATCAGAGTCGTGCAGGCCGGGTCGGTAACTAGCGGATCGGTAAGGTACAAAACGGTAGGCAAAGGATAGTCGGGTCACACGCAGGGTCAATACCAGGAGGTCAGATCTAAATGGGAACATCCAGGAGCAGAGTCAGGCAAGCCAAGGGGTCAGGACGGGAGAAGGCAACAAGGTCAAAACAATCCAGATCAGAAGTACTCACACACAGGTAACAGGATACAAAGACCATTCGGCAACAAGTGTCTGTGCAGGGCTAGTTTAAATAGCCCGCTCTGCACCTGACAGGCATAGCCTGGGTCCCAGTGCCTGCCTAGTACTGTCCAGACAACGGGTGCGCCTGGGTCCTAGTGCCCTGCCACCTATACGTCTCGGCAGACACCTACGCATGTGTAGACCCATGCGTCGCGATGGTTCCTGACATGTGCTGTCACCTAAAATGCCCCCCCCCCCAAACTCTCCCTTACCCTGCACTTCGCCTCCCCTACTCTGATTCCCCCCCCAGCACTGATTCCCCCTCCCTCGCAAACCTATATCCCCTTGTCAGCTGTCAGCTGTCAGCTTCTCTCCTCTGCCCTCCTGCTCTGACCCCCTTTCGGTGCCACCCACCTCCCTGATGGCCGGGTGCCCCCTCCCTGAAGCTGCTAGCCAGCCTCTCCCCCAGCCTTCCTCCTTCCCCTCTTGCCAGTTGCAGCCGCTGACAAATCGCTGTCAGCATGGGGAATGGAGGTAATGTGTTTACCACTCCCCTTTCTTTCCTGAGAGGTGGGGGCTGGTAAAAATACCCCCTTCCTATCCTGAAAAAATACAACCAGTGATCACTACAGATTGCTCCTGTATTTTTTCATCACTGGCAATTGTATTTATTCAGTGACAGTTTGTAAATGAAATATTTCATGAATGAATTATGAGTCTGTGACTCCTATCCCATTCATCTTCAGTGTAGCTCAGGCTGCAGAGAAAGGTCTTCAGTCCCTTTCTCTGTTTCAAAAAAGAGATATTAGAGGTCTGTTTAGAGCCCTGATGTCTCTCCAAAGCCCCCTCTTCCCCAAAAAGTAATAATTATATAAATTAATAAAAATGTACATGTTAAAAAAAAAGGCTCCAAGTACACATAAACGTTTATCTGCTACATGTGGCGAAACCACGTGTAAACGCAGTACCACATTTAGCCATGTTTAACGCTTGGCCATTTATTTATTTCATTAGCCAGAGTACTTGCCACTAAAATTAATAAACACCCAAGCACTAAACGCATTTAGTGCTTTGGTACATTTAGACACATTTTTGCCTCGTTTAGTGTTTTTTGGCCAAAATGTTCTTTTCCTGAATGTGACTCTTCTGCGTTCAGGAGAGGGATGCTTAACTGGCCCTAAACTCTGCCGCCCTCAACCGCATGTCTAAGCAAGGCCTAAAGCCTTGTTTACATGGGGCATAAGTTATCTGCGCAGGCACTGGCCATGTTTATCTGCACAGGGATGCACAGGTATTCCATACATCGTCATACAGGCAGTCCCATTGATGTAATTTGGGACACATCGGCTGCACAGGAATGCACAGGTGTTCTGTGCAATCCTGTGCAGGCAGTCCCATCCATATCAATTGGGATCCCAACTTGACATCCATGTGGGTGTATGTCCCTAACTCACACTGTCTGTGTTTGGGGCCATGGACCTACACCCGCATGGATGTCAGATCTGTCCTTGCAGCTGCTGTGTTGACATGAATTGGACTGCCTGAACAGGGATGCACAGAACACCTGTGCATCTCTGTGTGGGTAAACGTCACCCTCCATGGGCGTACGCTTTACACACCCCATTGAATGAGGTCTTAGCAGGAATTAAGCAGGAAGTTATGTTTTGGTTTTGTGTGGAAATAAGGATTTTAGTTGGAGTTTTTTTTTTTGTGAAAATAGCAATTTGATAAACATTTGCACAACTATTATGGTGCCTAAAGAAATCAGTAGCACCTTCTTTTTTATTTTACTGGTCATGTGCTTTCAGAACATATGGTTTGGAGGGTCTTTTACAAACTCTGAAAACTGTTAAGTGAATAATGAAAACCTCTAGATTTTTAGAGAAATTTTTGTGTACGTTCCATTTTCACCATTTTGCAAAAAGGCACAATTCAAAATGTACAAATATTTGTTATTTATTAACTCAATACAGGTTAAGCTTTTATATGTAGTAAGAAATTTAGCTGGAATTTTGTAAAATTTCCTGTGTTGGTATCTGCTAATAATGATTTTCATGTATTTTTAGCAAAAATATCACTTGGATAAACATTTGCGCAAACATCACAGGGCCTCAAAAATCAGTAGCTCCATATTTGTATTCTACTGGCCATGTGCTTTAGGAAAATATATGGTTTGGAGGGGTCTTTTACAAACTATAAAAGCTGTAAGTGAAAAATGAAAAGCTCCAGATTTCTAAAGAAATTTGGTTATTTACAATTTTGGATATGTTCGATTTTCACCATTTCACAAAAAGGCGCAATTTAAAACGTCCAAATATTTATTTTATAACTCAGTTCAGGTTAAGCTTTTATATTTAGTAGGAATTTTGTAAAATGTGCTGTGTTTATATCTGCTAATAATGATTTTAGTGTATTTTTAGCAAAAATAATGATTTGATAAACGTTTGCGCAAATATCATGGGGTCCTAAAAATCAGTAGCATCTTCTTTTCATTGTACTGGTCATGTGCTTGCAGAATATAAATGGTTTGGGGGGGTCTCTTTTACAAACTCTAAAAGCTGTGTGAGAAAAATAAAAAAGCAATTGAAAAATTGCAAAAATGGTCTGGTTACCTAGGTCTAAAAGTGGAGCACAGGGCCTGACAGTGAAAGGATTAAAGCAGAACTTCACCCTGACTATATTATCCTCCACTTTCCTGTGTCGCCATTTTTCAAAATAGCTGCATTGCATTAAAATGCATACCTTTTGCGATTTAACGTAATGCAGGTCAGTGCAGCATTGTAGTGTGAACAACTGTTTTTATGTCTCTATGCATTAACCTGCATTTTTACAAGTGTGGTAAAAGACACAGAAAATGGATGGAAATGTACATCCAATTTCCCTGCAATTTACTGCAAGTCATTGTGAATGCAGCCGCACTTTTATCAGCAGCTACAATTCCCACTGTATGATGGAAATTATAGTTTCAACAAGGGACACCATGTGGTGAGCAAAGGTAATGGTGCCGCTTGCTTGATACCTCCTCCAGATGCAAGATCATGGTTGCTCTTTCTCAATGGAAACTCTGATGTCACCAAATTTTTAAAAAGGTAAATCCGCCCCCCTCCTGTAGTTCTCTGCAAGCATCCTGAAGTGGATGGGTCTGCTGGTCTCTCCCACAGTTCTGCTCTTTACACAGGCTAGGTGCAGCAAAATGGTGATACTACCACTACCTTTACAAGGTAATAACTTTTTTCAAAGGCATTTGGTGCACAGAAAGTAGATTAAAATCCATTGTGTGTATTAAAGTACAACTTATGTAATTAAATGAAAGAGTTTGAATTTGCAGTTCGGGTTCATGAGTTCTTAGCCCTAATGCAATCAGTGGGCTAGTTTTTTGATGATGGATGTCAGTTTAGAGGTATAGGCATTCCTAGGCAGGCTGCATTGGCATGCAGACCACCCCAGGTGGCACTCACATATGACGCTAGACCTTTGTGTTTAAAACTACTAAAATCAAATGAATGGAAGTGGGAGGCCAGGGCAGTAGGGCTGCGGGGGAAAGAGCTAGATGATGCTGGAAGTCCTCGAGGAAGGAAATGAAGATGGCTCTATTTGATGTGCTGCATCTTTTAATGCACACTGTAAGGAGCTCCCAGTATACAGTGAAATAACAGTAGGCAATTTCAGTACTAGAGAGGAGCCTCTACAACAGTGCATCACTGAAAGTAAGGCTGGAGTTCAGCTTTGAAATCACTTTTTTTTGTATACAGGTACCTCCATATTATTGCCTATGCAAGATATTCAAAGCAGAAATCCAAACAAGGTAGTATGGCTCTGTACACATGGAATTGTAGGCTAGACCCTTTAATACCCTTTAATAGAATATATAAAAGCCTGGCATCATATCTGGCTAAAATTGTCATTACACTGTATTCTATGTTTTAAACAGTTAATGCAAATTCAAAATGTACTTAATCAAATACAATACATTGAGACCCGGTTCACATATATGTGAATTGAATGCATTTGGAACTGCATCTGATTCACATTACATGTGAACCAAAAGTCTTTTCTATGGAGCCGATTCACATATGTGCGGGCTGGCCACAGTGTGATTTGTAAATGAGTCCTGTGCCATTTTTAGTCCTATCCAGGTGCAATTTCCAATGTCATATACTTTAACAATTCGCATTGGTATCGCACCTGCACCATTGAACGAAATTGGACGGGACTCCTTTACAAATCGCACTGCAAACCAACCCCACACATACA